AAGTACCAGATGGGGGATGCAGGACTCCTGGGTTCACTTGGTAGCTTAGCCCTGTTCTCACTCTATGCCTTAGTTTCCATCCCATCTGGGAACAGGGTGATGGCACTGTGACCAACCCATAACATGCCACAGGCCTTCAGAGCCAGCTCCCATGAAGCAGGACAGTGGCTGGCTGTCAGTGGGATGTGGTCTAACCATGGGCTGGGGTAGAGCATGCTGGAAGGTGGGCATGGCTCAATGGTCCTACACCAGATGGCAGAAGCCCAGAGACCATGGGGACAGGCACCCCCAGTGCAGGGAAGATACACACCTTCAGAATTCCAGGGATCTGAGTTGGTGGTGGTTTGGTCACCTCCCCAGGGATCTGCAGAGGCCACAGCAGGGATGGGGGCAGCTGCCCCCCATGGGTCACTGCTGGGAGGTGGGCCACTAGGGGTCCCACCCCATGGGTCAGAGGCTGGGGGCCCAGCTGGGGCAGGCCCAGAAGTGCCCCAAGGGTCAGCAGGGGCTGTGGTGTTCCAGGGGTCCCCTATGGCTGGGGGGGCTGGAGCTGTGAAGACGTCAGCCAGGTCCATCAGTGATGACTGCAAGGAGAGAGACAGCACATGGTGAGAGGAGGAATCCTCAGGCACCAATACCAACCATGAACCCCCTCCTCCAAGGCCTACCCGAAGCCTGGCACTGGAAACTGGCTGCACTGCTGTGACCCCTGCTCCCTCCCATGGCACCCCCACTACATTGATGATAGCTGTGTAAGGGGAGCCTTTGAGTGAGACTCCAATCCCCAAGTGCAACCCTCCCAAGCGCTTATGCCCAAGCTATGGCAGTCCTGCCTATGGGCAACTGGTGCCTCCCAAGTCACAGACAGTCAGTGGCTGGGGGGGGGGGCCCCCTGCCGCCAATCCCACCAACCCACAACTGACAGTGGTGTGTCACTGACACTTCCAGGTCAGCGGGATCGCCCATGGGGGGACCGTTTCTCCTGGTGCACTCTCTGGCTGGCACTCTCAGGTGCCCTCCTCGCTGGGAGGGCACCAATGCTCTCGCCTGCCCCCACTGCTAGGGAACGCTATAGTCAGGGGGTGGACGTGCACCCCCTACTCATCACCAGTGGTCCTGTCCCAGCCCCAATGTGGGCCCAGCCAGCAGAATAGCCCTTCTCCCACAATGAACCAGGTGATCTCATGCCACCTGCACCCCTCCCCTTCCCTGGCAGGGTGCTAACACAGGGATACCTCCTCACTCCGGGCCGGCACAGTCTCCTTCTTGCTCTCCTCAATGGCCATCTGGAGGCGCAGGTCATCTCCTCGACGGATGCGCTCCTCCTGATGGATGGGGAAGAAAAGATGGCATCAGCATAGGTGCCCATGGGGCAGGGCGGGCCCAGTGCAGTGGGGACTCACCTCCTGCTGACCTGTATGCAGGCACCTGGACACGCTGAGAAGAGCGGGGCCCTCAAGAGACCCCCAGAACACGGAGGTGATGCTGCCCCTGACTGGCAAACACAGGGTTAATAGCCCAGCTCTGGAAACAACTTGCGAATAGAACCCAGATGTCCTGACTCCCTGCACCCCTCTGCTCTAACCCACCAGATCTCAACACTCTCCCACAGAACAGGGATAGAACCCAGGAGTCCTGGTTCCCACCAGCTCTTTTGGCCTTGCACAGCACAGAAGTGGGGTGGTGTACACTACATGCTGGCTGCACCTCACACATAGCCCCTGTAATCTGACCTGGTGGTGGGCTGGTTACCCTCACCCTTCAAGACCCTAATTTCCCATGAAGCTCCATTCCAGGCTGGGCCACAGAGAGGTGGCCCCTGGGGCACTAATACATGGCTAGCTCAGGATGGAGGGCTCTGGAACCCTCTGCACAGAGCCACACAGCCCATACTTGAATGATACTCCCCCAGGCAGAGCCAGGTGTGGAGGCATTGGGAAAGAGATCAGCCTCTCCCCAGGCCACCTCAATCCAACTAGAAGACAAGGTCCCCTATGGCTGGACAGACCCCTCCCCCGTGCATGGCCCCCTCCACATTGGCCCATGGCACTTGTGTGATGCCTGGATATGGTGAGAGTCACCCCAAATGACCAACCTGGCCCACTCCAGAGCAAATAAGCCATCCCTGCTCCCCAAATCCAGCCTCCCAATCAAGTTGCCCCCCACAACATCATCCCCTGTGCAAGGCAGCCACAAGGTGGCAATCATCCATGCCAAAGCAGAGGAGGAGACACAAGAGAATCCAGGCAGACAGACAGAGATTAGCCAGGGGTTAACAATGATTAACAGGAGGTAGATTAGGATGCAGCCACCACCAAAGATCCAAACGACCCAGCGTGTAGCAAACCGGACAGAACCTTCCATTGCTCCCCAAGGCTGAGGCTAGGCATCACCCGCCCCACCACTGGAAGCTGATGCAGTAGGCCAGGGGCACAAGGGCACCACATGGAAGGAACTCAAGAGCCAGTGCCTATCAGCCTAGCTGGGTTGGAAAGCGGGGAGGGACTGGACCCAGTGGGTTGCACTGTCCAGAAATGGAAGAAGGCTGAACAGCCTAAGCCTACAGGTCTGGGCTGGAGGAAGCAGGATGGGAGGGCTTAGGGGGTCAAGGGGACCGAGCCCCAGGAGAGTAAGGGACATCTGGATTCAGGCCCCATTTCCCATACAAGCCCTGGCTACGTGCTACCTACTGCTGACTTCTCAGATCACACTCCCCATCCTGAACTAAGAACGCAGATATCCCAACTCCTCCCTACACTCCACTTCCCCCCAGTAGGGCTGGAATTCCTCCAGAATCCAGCAAGAGGCGTGATGGTGGTGGGCTGACAGCCCTGCATCACTTGGGACAGGAAGCATCAGAAAATCCATTAGAACCAGTGAGAGACTACTGTGTGAAAGCACCAGGGTTATCTTATATCCTGAATATTCCTGGCTAGAGGGTCTGGCCCCTCTGCTCAGGGTCAGACCAATCACCATATTTAGGGTCAGGAAGGAATTTTACTCCATGGTCAGATTGGTACAGACTGTGGGGGTTTTTGCCTTCCTCTGTAGTGAGGTGCATGGCTCCCTTCCTGGGGTCTCTGGACAATCTTTGTGGCAGCATGACATTGGTCAACATGGTCCCTCTGCTTTACCTGTAGCAGATTATGGTATTATGTCTTGTGCTTGTATCAGGGTTGACTGTGTAGTTTTGCTAAGAGGTTAGACAATGGATTTGTACAGGATGGTTTGGACAGGGATGATCCTACCTCTGGCAAGGGGCTTGGCTAGATGATCTCCAGAGGTCACTCTCTTCCACCCCTACTTCTCTATGCTTCTACATTCTGTACGGTCAGACCAGGAACTGCAGGATGCCACCACCAACTCAAATGGGGGACAAGGAGACCCAGAGACAGGGTTGCCCCCACTGTCAGTGACGAGGCCACCCCAGGCGGGAAACTGACTGTGGTGTAGAGGAGGGTGAAACTGCCTAGCCCCAACCAGCCCCAGCAGGGAATTTCCAGAGGAAAGGAAGGTGCCTCCCGGTGGGCTCAAGATCAGGTTAGCTCTGCTCTAGCAGACGGAGGGTTAGCGCAGTGTGAGTGAGGGGGCCGGGGTCTGTTAGATGGTGGGGGGCTCTAACCTTGTCGTGCTCCTCCTTGCTCAAGCTAAGGGCAAGCTGGAGCTGCAGGTCCTCTTCAGCTGCGGCAGGGGGCTGGGTGCAGAGAGAGCAGATGGTGAAGGTGCAGCGGGGGCCACGCCTGGAGGGGTGTCCACAGGAGTGCAGCACACAGAAGGCAGACCAGAGAGGCCCAAGGGACACAACTTACCCACCCCTTAAACTCAGAAGACGAGGTGCACACATGGGGACACAGGGAAGACATCAAACAGGTGTGGGGCAGCTGGTGCTGGGAGATAGAGGGCAGGGACAGGAGGGCTGCGTGCATCAGGGAGGGGCACTGGCCAGTGGAAGCACACAGTGGGGGTGGGGAAGAGCAGGACAGGGGATCAAGGGGCAGAGCCATGGCTGTTCTTCCTGGAGTCTTCAACGGCAGGTGGTCGCTGCAGGAGATGGGGGCATCAGCCTTGCCCCTCCAAGTACTGACATCCCTAAGCCAGGAGCCTGCCAGCCAGTAGGCCCCATTTCTGTGCTGTGGTGGGGGGTGGCCCTGCTCCCCTACTCTGAGCATGGGACAAGATGACAATGCCAGCCGTATCCCCACTCCAGGCCAATGTGCTCCCAACCATCCCAATCCTCATTCTCTGCCCCAAAAGCCTTTGAGACCTGTCACCCAGAATTGGTAAGACACCACCAACCAGGGACATGAAGCACTCCACAGGGCTTTTTCTCATGGGAACTGTTTCCACCCCCACGCCACCTCAAACATGGCTTGTGCTTCTGAAGGAAATTGGTCATCTCAGAGTGGGGATGGGACAGGGTCTTCCTCCTCCAGACAGCACCGGTGCTATCCAGCCCCAGAGGAGGTGTGGCAGAGGCACTTTGCTTTTAGGTGGTAACAGCCCCAGGACAGGGACTCTAGCTGGCGCACAGGGTGGGAGAAGGAGTGGGGCCTTCCCACTCCAGAAAGCATCAGTCTTGACATGGCACTACTGAGCCCATTCTGTCAGCTGTCTGCTCCCCACTCTATAAGCCAAACTGACATCACTAGAAGCATGAGGACAGCAGTGTTTGGTTGGCAGTGGGGGCAAAGAGCTGAGCAGGTGGGTGACACAAAAGTTATCTTAAAGGTGGGAATTTTGCAGGCTGGAGTGGACAGAAGAATCAAATCTTAATCAGCCCCACCCTGAGCAACTCCCTTGGGGCCTCGACTGGGTCAGCAAAGGGCAGCCAGCTCCATGTAATAGGGACCCACTGCCTAGGCCACAGAAATTCAGCCTTCCCAATACCCCACCAGGGCCCTCTTCCACAGCCCCATGTGGGCGGCTCCGCCTTACCTGCTCAGCCTCCTCCTTGCTCATGGCCAATGCCAGCTGTAACTGCAGCTCCTCCTCCCCGCTGCTCTGCGGCCAGGCCTGCTCTGCATCTGTGGGGGCACTGGCACTTGAGGCTGAGGAGGCTGCAGAGCAGAAAGGGTTAAACCATTAGACAGAACACCTCTCACAGAAGGAACTGTGCATTTGGCCACTGCTAGGTAGGGCCGGGACAGGGGCTGGTTACACAGGGACCCCTTACTCGGCACAGAGATGCAGCGGCCACCTGGGGGAATTTCTTATGAAAGGCCCCCTCACCATATGAGCAACCAGATTATTTTACAGAATCAAGAGTGAGCAGCTCCATTTTCTCACCCAAATGATAAAACCCCTGGGGACTCCACAGGCTGGGATGAGAGGTCAGAAGTAGCACTTACAAAAGTAGGACCCTCCCCACTGTACAGCACCCTGAGCCCCATTCCCTGCTCCCCAGTGGTTCCCAAATATAACAACTCATCCTCTGAGAGTGATTCTTAGTGCATGCAAGGCCATGCTAATATGTGCCGGGCAGTGCCCTCTGCTGGCCACATGCTTTAAGGCCCCTCACACAGATGTAGCTGGTCCCATGATGGCCTCTTCCCTTTGCCCTGATGCATATGGGGGCTGGCAGGGACCACTTACCAGACACCCTGGCACCAGCTGTCAGACTTCCTTAGCACAGCCCATGACAATGAGGATGTTCCTAATCTTGCTGAGTCTCTCAGCAAGGGTCAGAGCACTGCGGTAGGGCCTGCTTTAAGGCAAGGAGGCTCTGCGTGCCCAAATGGGGCACCTAGAGGAGAGATCTTCTACTAGGCTCCCTGCTACTCTGGGGGAAGGGTAGGGAGCTGGATCCTGCTGGGAGCAAGGGGTTGTGGGGAACTGCCCCCATGATGATTCAGGACCCCCGCTGCACCCAGAAGGAGGATCTAGTCAAGCTGGGAGACCTTCCCCAGAAGGAAGGCTGAGAACTCCAGGCTGAGAACCCCCACTGAGCCTGAGCTACAAGAGTAGGGGGACACTGCATTCCCTGTCTCTAAGGGCCTAGCCCAGTTCCTACCTCCACCCTTCCAACAGGGCCCTACCCCCTTGGCACCCATGCCCTGCCAGACAGGTCAAAGGTTGCTGGCAACACAGCTGGGGTAGGGAGAAGGCAAGATACCCACACTGACAGGAGGGGGAGAAAGCCATGCATTAACTCCTTCACTGCTACTGATTAGAGCTAACAAAGCAGACCCCAGGGCTGAGGGGGCAGAGAGATACAGGGCAGAATTGAGAAGCATTGGCAGGGTGGGAGCACATGGGAGTCATGTGGAGGGACAGGGATAGGGACACTGGTTAGGAATGAGGCATGGCATAAGGCAAAGTCTGTCTCTGGGCCTGCACTTTGCATTGGCAGCACTTCCTGGTTCTGGCAGGAAATTTCATAGACATAGATTTCATTTCACAGACATCAGGGCTGGAAGGGACCTCGGAAGATCATCGAGTCCAGCCCCCCGCCCAAAGGCCAGGAAGTCAGCTGGGGTCATAGGATCCCAGCAAGATAAGCATCCAGTTTCATCTTGAAGGTGTTCAATGAAGGCGCTTGAACCACCTCCGGTGGCAGGCTGTTCCAGACCTTGGGGGCTCGGACAGTAAAGAAGTTCTTCCTTATGTCCAGCCTGAAACGGTCTTGAAGTAGTTTGTGACCATTCGACCTCATCATCCCTTGGGGCGCTCTGGTGAACAAACGTTCCCCCAGATGCTGGTGGTCACCCTTGATAAACTTGTAGGTGGCCATCAGATCACCCCTGAGCCTGCGCTTTTTCAGGCTAAAGAGCCCCAGGGCTCTCAGCCTGTCATCGTAGGGTCTGCTTCCCTGACCTCTGATCATGCGCGTGGCTCTTCTCTGGACTCTCTCAAGCTTCTCCACATCCTTTTTGAATTGTGGAGCCCAAAACTGGACACAGTACTCCAGCTGCGGCCTCACTAAGGCCAAGTACAGGGGGAGAATGACGTCCCGGGATTTGCTTGAGAAGCATCTATGGATGCAAGCCAGCGTTTTGGTCGCTTTACTAGCTGCCGCATCGCATTGCAGGCTCATGTTCATCTTGTGGTCAATGATGACCCCCAAGTCTCTTTCTTCCATAGTGCTAGCCAACATAACACTGCCGAGCCTATAAGGATGCTGAGGGTTTTTTTCCCCCAAGGTGGAGAACCTTGCATTTATCGGCGTTGAACACCATCAGATTCTCATCCGCCCACTTGCTGAGCCTGTCCAGGTCAGCCTGGATAACCTGCCTGTCCTCTGGTGTGGATGCTTTGCCCCAAAGTTTGGTGTCATCGGCGAACTTGGCCAGTCCGCTTCTGACTCCAGTGTCCACACCATTAATGAAGATGTTGAACAGTATGGGTCCAAGGCCAGAGCCTTGGGGGACCCCACTGGTCACAGGACACCATGATGAGTGACTTCCATCGATTACTACCCTCTGGGTCCGCCCCCAGCCCCAATTTTCCAGCCAGTGGATCGGGGAGGACCCAAGGCGACAATTGGCCCGTTTCTCCAAGAGGCGATCATGGGACACCAGATCGAAGGCATTTTTGAAGTCAAGATATATGACATCAATCTCTTCTCCCTTGTCCAGGTGATAGGTCACCTGGTCGCAGAAGGAAATGAGATTGGTCAAGCAAGACCTACCCGCAACAAACCCGTGCTGGCTATCCCTTAAGATGTTGGCGTCGGCCAGTCCATTAAGGATGGCCTCTTTAATAAACTTTTCTAAGATCTTCCCCAGGAAGATCTTAGAAATGGGAAATGGGGAGGAGCAGGGGAGATTTTTGGATCAACTTCCTCCAGGGCAGGGGTTCCTGTGTGGGGAGGGCAGGGAACCCTAGACCAACTGGGGAGGCAAAGTACAAAGCAGCTGTGCAAGGTGGGCAGGAAGTGCTGGTGCTGCAGAAGGCAACCGGTGGCTGACACAGCCCCACCAAGCTTCCAACCCACCTGCCCAGGAAAGGCCTCCTGCTCTGAGGTGAGGCAGGATCAGTCCAGCAGCCTGCAGCTGCCTCATCCCAAGGAACATGTCTCCTCGCTCCCCAGGGTGGGACAGGGCACAGCCAGTGAGCTCAGATCCACAAGATACACGAGCTAAGGCTCAGGGTGTCCTGGCACCTGGGAGACCCTCCAAATGCCCTAGGCAGCAGCAAGAGGAGGATTAAACACACTGCCTACTGATGCCGCTCACTCCCAACCTGCCACCCAAGCAATCTTCATTCAAACAACACAAAGCTTGACCCCACCAGTCACATCAAACATCAGGCAACTTAGTCACACCCAGCAGCAGCAGGCAGGCTAAGATGCAGCTGTTTCTGCAGTAGGGAAGGGAGACTTTTCCCAGGAAAAATGCTTGCTCAGTGGCAAGACACAGCCACTTCTGGAATGGGATATGTCAGGGCCTGGTTTAAAACAGATCCCTCACCTAGCACTAAGATGCAGTGACTGCTGGGGTGCAACAGGTTGGGAGCTGTTTATACAGGGCCTCATCTCCCAGCACTGAGATGTAGCTGATTTTAAAGTGGGGTACACTGAGGTCTTGGTATACAGGGATCCCTCCCTGGAAACAGATGCAGCTGCCTCTGGTGACTGTTGTGTCAAATACCCCAGGTCCAGTTGTGGGGGGCAGAATACGGAGCAGAAGTGTAGGGTGCACAGGCAGTACTAGTACTGTGTGGGACACTGGGGGCTGGTGTAACACTGCACTCAGAAGTGACAACATACGGACAATGCCAGGTGAGATCCCAGGACCAGAGGCACCACGGCCACTAGAGCAGCTCTTCCCACAAGGCACTGGGGATGCTGCTGCCCCAGCCCCTCCTTCAGGGTACCAGCATGCCCTCCCCAAGGTACCTCTTGCACTGCAGGACACCACCCCCCACAGCTGTGGCCAAGCAGGACAGATGGCTGCTTGTGACGTTAGGTGGGAACAGTCAGCCCCAACCCTCCCCTCTCACCTGTGGACGTCTGGGCCAGCTTCTCCTTAGTCTTGAGGGCATGGGCACGCTCCTCCTTGAGACGCTCATCGTCCTTGAGCAGAGCCACCAGCTGCTTGGCTTTCTCACGCACATTGACCCCCTGGTCCTTGCCATCACGGTCAACGTACTGGAAGTCCTTCAGAGTCTGGATAGCGTAGATGTTCTCCTTGCACTGCTGTGCCACACGCTCTGAGCCTGTCTTGATCAGGTACTCCATTAGCGTCATGGCCTGGGTAGAGGAGGAGGGGAGTAACTCAGGGTGGTGGGGACAGGGGAAGTGCACCTGCCATGGCCTGCCTCACTTTGTCCACCATGGCCTATCCCATGCTACTACTGCCAACCCCAGCCTGCCACACACCACTACGTGCCTGCTGCAGCCCACCCCACCCCAACAGCCCACCCTAATATGCAGCTTTCATTCACCCCACTACCACCATAGCCTAGGTACCCTGTGACTCTCCCAGGTCCCCATAACAGCGATCAGAGTCCCTGCCCCACACAGGCAACCCTGGACCAGGCCACAGGGAGGCTGTAGCCATGTGGCCCAAAACCAGGCTGGGCTATGTGGAACAAAACCATCCCCCAGCCATGACACTCAGCTGACCCCAGCACGCCCAAAACCATCACCCAGCCATGACACTCAGCTGACCCCAGCACCACCTGTGCTCAGGTACAGGGCCCCACTGCCAGGGCACTCAACCTCATAAGATGTATCTAATGATTCTGTGATCACATAACTGTAAAAGCCACACTGAAGGCAGCAAGTAGCAAGGCAGGTAGTGCCCAAAGGGCTAGAGTAGAGGGGCCTAGGAGCTTTTCTTCACCTCAGGGAAGGAGATCTGGTGGGTTACAGCAACAGTGGGTTCTGGGAGCCAGGACACCTGGGATATCCACAGCTTGGGGAGGCCTGCTGGCTTAAAGCATGCAGTTTGGGAGCCAGGACACCCAGGTTCTCTTCCAGTCTGAGAGGGGAGATGTGGGGATGGCAGAGATCCCAGATGCCCAGGTTCCAGTGGCTGAAGCTGCAGCAGGGCATTACCTTGTAGACGTGGCGCCAGTTCTTGCCATGGTCATTGAGGCGTTTCCAGATCATGCTCATGATCTCAGAGAATGCAACCACGTTGTAGGTGAGGTCAGCTATCTCGGACATGAGCGAGCTAGACGGGCCCCATGGGTCATTGGATGTAGCCTCCCGCACCTTGATCTCTGCCTCTGAGTAGTTGTGCACAATATTCTTCATCTGGCGCCGAAGTGATGAAGTCGACATGGTGACAGCAGGGTGGGTCTGGCACTGGGAGACAGGCAAGTGGGGGCAGGGCCCCTCAGTCCAGCAGGGGCTTCAGAGAAGGCCTTTGTGTCTGTAGAGCTGGGGGTGAGGGCTGGGGTGGCAATGAAACTGCCGGTGTTAAAGGGGAGCTCACAGGGAGCTCACACCTCCATGTCAACAGGCTGGCATGGCTACCAGTCAGGGCCACATCTGCAACAGAGAGATTGGGGGGCATCACGGACAGTGCCCACACCTGCACACCAACAGCACAGCATCCTGGGAAGCAGCAGGGAGCCAGAATGCCTAGGTTCCCACACCTCATCCAAGGCTAGTTCCCTGGTCCCAGGCCAAGCTGAGCCCTGGATCAGCAAAGGACAGTCCCACCTCTGGGACTTCTAAGTGGAATGCAGTTGCCCTTCAGCCAGCATCGGACATGGACCCAGTAGAGAACCAGGCCCCACCATGCCACAAACAGCCAGGTGCTGCCCTGGGGAGGGCAGCCAAGGGCTCCAGGATGGCTACACGTGCCCATGTTCCACCCGTCCCCAGCACATGCGGACCCCTGAGAGATGAGTAGGGGCCACCTTCTGGGGGTAAGGGAAAGTTGCTGCAACTGGGATGCCAGGCAGGACCCACAGGACCACCCTCTGAGGAGCGAGAAGTCGAGTTTAGACCCCTCACCCTCGAGAAATGGGAACAGTGACCCCCAAGTCAGCGAGTCCCAAAGAGTATACTGCAAAAGTGGCAGAAGTGTGCCACAGGAAACAAACAGGATGAGGCCCCAGCCATGTAGGCCCTGCACGGCAGGACCAGGCCCACAGACTGGCAAGTGAATGGTGCTGCCAGTTTTAAATGCAGAAAATGAAAGTTCCCCAGGTACCAAAACTCTGAGAAACAGTGCCTCGAATGCTCCATGTGGGCACTCCAACCACAAGAGTACCCCATTTTACATGGACACCCCTACCTCAAAGGCAGATGCATCTCAGCACTAGGCAAGGGGATCCTCCACAGGGATCCTCCAGGCAAAGGAGCCCGTGCTGAGCCAAGTCCAGCACAGTGCTGCTGCAGGAAGGAAGGAAGCCTCACAGCTCCTTGTCCCATGACTCACACCTCAGAAATGCAGAAGGCCCCCACTTCCTTCCCCTTGGGCTAGTCCTGCACCAGGAACTTGAGACGTGAGGCATGAGAGGCTTGGGCTCCATGGAAGGCACTTGAATGTGCCCTCTACCAGAGCTGGGCAAAGCGCTATAAGGAAAATAGCAAGACCCCCCCCAGTGACCCCAGTAGCATCCCCTAGTGTCCATCATGGCCCTAAGCTAAAAGAGACAACCCAAAGTCCCTGAGGGGCAGCCAGCCCCCACTCACAGCCCCCGCTCAGGATGTTCCTAGTGCTGGGATGCCCAGGTTGAAAGCAGTTAGGGCGAGGGGCTGGAAGCCACCTGGGAGAGCCCCCAACCCCACTGGATCATCTGAGCAAGTACACCCCAAGACATCAGGAGCCTAGAGAATGCAACACTCACCAGCCCCCCAGCCCCCAGGATTAATGTCACCAGCCCTGTTCTACAGAGCAGCAAACCAAAGCCCAGGAAAGCAGAAAGGATTTGTGAACAGATCTGGAAAAAGACCCCAAGCATCCTGGCTCCCAACCTCCCACTCCCTTGGGCAGATAATGGAGAAGGTAAAGGCAAGGAAAGCCCAGATTGCCAGAGGCTGAGCTGAGGAAGCCTCTGCCAGAGTTAAAGAGGAAACAAACTTAAAGCCAGGATTTCCTCATAGGCCTCAGCATCCAGATACATTCATCCCCAACTCTTACCACACAGACCCGTGCAGGAACCCATGCACCCAGAGTCCCAGCTCACATTCTCCTGGGCCAGCCATACCCAAAGGGCCAGCTACCCAAGAATTAGTAGGGCCCTATCCCAGCTGGTACTACCCAGGTCCTGAGAAAGGCAGGTATCTAAGCAGACCAGACAGGCAGCAGGTGAGGCAGGGAAACAGAGGTCTCACTGAAGAAGGATCTTGCCTACAGCAGGTTGGCAGTGAAGGGGGAAATGGAACCCAGGCACCTTGCCCCAAGACCATGTTTCTAGCACCTGTAACAAGCACAGGAGCTCTCCTCAGGGACACCTGCACACTCAGAGGAACCAGGACAGGAAAGGGAGGCAGCCTCAAGTGTCTCCCCACTGCTGCAGGCACAGGGACCCACAGCAGTGTCTCTAAGGTGAGCCTCAGTGCCCCCCTCCTCCCCCTGCCCCCACTCTGAGGAGCAGAATCTGGCCCCTGTCCTGCGCAACTTAGTTCTGCTGGGGCAGAAACAGACAAAGCTCTGGTCAGTGGTCCTGGGAGGAGTGGAACCATGAAACTGACTCCAGTAGGGATATGGGAAGGCTCACAGATAAGCTGGAGGAAAGACAGACCCTCCCAGGGGCTGAGGCACGGGCTACCTCTGGCTTGCAGATAGCATCAGGGCTACAATCTCCTCCCCAGCACCACCTGCCAGAGTCCCCCTCCCCATCACATACACACAGCTGATGCAGCTCTGGGCCAGCAAGGTCCTGCTAGGAAGCACAGACCAGCCCCTCCTGCTCACCAAGGGAGAAGGGATAACAGGCTAGACCCAAGGCAGTAGGTCCCCTCCCTCCCCCACCAGTCCCCAGCATGAGTGGGGCCACCCCAGCTGGGCCTGGCCCTGGGCAGCAGGAGCAGGTACTTGACAGCTCTTGGGAGCCCGGGAGAGGGAAGAGCTGAGACAGGGGTCACCCTGGCTGCTACTGCTGCCCAACCAGGCAATGCCACCTGCAGTCGGTCACAACACCCCCCTTTCCCCCACTGGCCCAGCGCTCCCTGGTACCCAGCAGGGTCCCGCAGCCGCCCAGCCCGGGCTCCCCACGCAGGGCAGGGCAGGGCACGGCCTGTTGGGTCGGAGCAGCAGCCACGGCCCCGCCCGCGGACTCTGTCCCTCCGCGCAGGACCTGGCCTCGCTCCCAGGAGGACTTTGTACTCCGGCGCAGTCTGCGCCCTGCCAG